ATAGGGTTCAAGGACTACCTACATGGACCAATGGTTGCAGGGACAACGCTTAAGGTCAAATTCAGGACCGGGAACATCGGCCTTCGAGAACGTCGACGACGACATATGACGGTAGACGACGAAGACGACGAGTTCAAATGTGATTGCGGCTTCGAATGCGAAGACCGTGTTCATGTAGTCGCGGAATGTCCGTTGTACAAGAAGGAGAGGGAAGTGTACGTGACTGAGCTGGGAAAAATAGATGGAACGTACAGGGAGATGTTTGAGGCATGGAATAGAGAGGAAAGGACGGTAGCTGTAGTGGGGCATAGGAGGTGGGTTGAAAAGGCGGGAAGGGATATCGTTAGGATAGACGGACTAGGAAAGACATTTTTGAGCCACCTTTGGCAAAGTAGAAAGGACAGATTGGTCATCGGTGATCGGTCCTGTGGGAACAATGCTCCGTCCTCTCGAGGACGCGTTGTCAATGGTCTGACCGCTAAGGCATGCAAAACATAAGAGTACGCCCCCCCCCCGCCCGCCCCTCCATCTTCCAGGACACTACGAGATTGCCGAGCTTCTCGTGAACGCCGGGGCGCCTGTGGGCTCCGTCAAGCCCAACGGCACCACTCCCCTCCACATGGCTGCGCAGGGAAATAACTCCTGCGTGCTCCGGCTCTTGTTGCGCGCGGGGGCCCCGCTGAATCCCGAGAACCGTCACGGGTCCACCCCGCTCATGACGGCGGCGGCGCACGGCAACGCGAGGGCCTTGAGCGCGCTGGTTTCGGCGGGCGCGGACACCTCGAAGCGCAACGTGTTGGGCTGGGGGGCGCTGGAGAGTGTCTACCTCGCTCGGACCCCAGGAGACCGGCCTTTCGCTGCCGCTGTTGTTGATTGTGACGACGAGTGGGAACAACAGTCTATGAACGAGGAGGAACTGGAGCAGAGGCACTTGCAGAATATCGCGTTTTTGCTGTACCGGGCTCCCGGGTCCGGTGCGAGGGCGAGGTCCTGGCGCTGGCCCAGGAGGAGCGGCGGCGGCATGGGGTTCGCCGCTCTCAAGAAGCAGCAGCAGCAGCAGCAGCAGCAGCAAGAGGAGCAAGAGAAGCAGCAGAAGCAGAAAGTGACGAGGGCACCGGCGTGGACTGAAAACAGTCATGGTGGTGGTGCTGCTGCTGCTGCGGCAAAGGCGGGAGTGAGAGGCTTGGCGTGCCGGGCGGAATGGAAGCGTCACGGGAGCGGCGGGCAGAGGTCGAGGACTGTGACGGCGACCATGTTGAGGCGAGTTTAACCGAAAGGGGGTGAGAACGCGGGTTTTGATTCCGCTGGCTGGCGTCGGCGGGCACGGTGTCCTTCCTGTAGTCAGTGTCCTCGCACCTTTTTCTTGCCGTTCACGCTAGGCTTCATTTCTCGCAGAAACGGCGACGTGCACTATCGTTACGACTCAAGATGTTTTTTGACGAGGAGCTGATGAGATAAGATGTCAGCAACGCCTGCCCAAGGTTTGGAGGTTTCTTTATGGAGGCACCCATTTTGATCCAACTGAATGGACAAGCCCCGTGCGCTCCACGAACTCCGGCGAATGGCGCGCTCTTATCGCTTAGACGGCTCTATTGTAGTCCGACCTGGTGCGAATTTCCGCAGCACTACCAAGAAAGACGAGAAAGCGTCACGAACGCCTGCCCAAAGTTTGGAGGTGTCTTTATGGAGGCACCCATTTTGATCCAACTGAATGGACAAGCCACGTGCGCTTCACGAACTCCGGCGAATGGCGCGCTCTTATCGCTTAGACGGCTCTATTGTAGTCCGACCTGTTGCGAATTTCCGATATTTTCCGCAGCACTACCAAGAAAGACGAGAAAGACGTCACGGGCGCGTCTGTGTCTTTACCTCAAGTACATTGTCGCCGATTGTACCGTCACGCCTACCCCCCCCCCCTCCTCCCTCTTCCTTTGCTCCGTGTGCTGATGATCTGTACAGTGTACCATTTTCGAGTTTTTTTTTTGGGGGGGGACCGTCCTGACGTTTCTTGGACACATTTCCAGACATTTGTTGTTTTGGCCTTCTCTGTTTGCTTTTGGCCGTTGATGACATCGAAAAACCGCTCCTCAACCTCAAGGACGTTGTGGATGTAGTGCTTTTGGGGTCGGCACTGTCATCCATGTGCAGACGATATCAAGATTAGGATGATCAACAATGAAAAGCACAAACATGAAGGACTATCCCCGCTCTGCCTCCGTCCACGCAGGTTTTCCTCCAAAGGCTGATTTTGCAAATAGTTGAGTGCTTTTGGAGCGGCTGTTTCGACTCGTCCGAAAAAGTTGGCTGGCGGCGGCGGGCGGAGGTGTTTGTTTGTGGGGGAGGGGGCAACAACAACCTAGTGGTGTGGCAGTAATGGGTGCTCTCTTCGTGCACACCACGCCATCCTTCTTTCGAGAGGGGAGCCCGGTCGGTGACGTGAAAAATGTTGGGGGGGTATTGTCTGGCTGTTCGCGGCGCCGCAGGTTGAAAGGGGTGTCTAGCCTATGCGGTGTCGCTGCCTCGCGTGGGTCGAGAAGGGGAGGAAACTGGCCTCGCTCTTTCGAAGTAGCAAGCCCTGCTCCCCACGCGCACCAATGTTATCATGGGTGTGTTTTCACGGCCCGCGGCTGCCGTCCATGCTCTCTACATTGGCCGCCCAAGAGGTGGAGAGTAAGCGCCAACCTGGCATCGGTTCGGGTTAGGCAAAAGCACTCTGCACTGGGCAACCTCTCTTGTTGTCTTGGCAGTGGCAAAGGCGAAACGAGCTAAGGGAGCGTACCCTTTTCCGACCACGGCCCTGGGGTGTTAACCGTTGGCTCTCGTAGAGAGCGGCTTGGAAACGGGTGTAGGCACGAAAGATTTCTTGTATTGCGGCACGATGCTGGTGTTGCCGCCGGTGTCCGTTGATTCGGGCTTGCGTACACGTCGCGCATTTAAGTTTTTTAAGGCCAGAGGGCAAGGTCGCGTGCATCGTGGTGCGTGTGCCTTTGTATATTGCACAGCTGTGTCATATGGCAAACTTGCTTTCCAAAGTGCCGATCTATCTTGCTAGAATGAATGTTTTTGTGAAGCGTATTTTTTGCTGTAACATGACAGTGTAGGCTTGTCTTCGGGTTTGCTTCGAGGACGTTTGACCCGCCAATGGTCAAGTCACACACCGCGAGAACTTTCGTCCAGGAACAGTTTTGTAACGATGGTAGCTTTACGAATCTTTGATGCATCACGGAAACAGATTACTCTGCCTCGGCTTTTGGCAAATACCCGTTAGGCCTGAGAAAACATTTCTTTCACAAGAGTCTCAAAAGGCCCAAGCTTTGGTGTATTGCAAAGGCTCTTGTACATTGGGTGTAACATATTCTGGCGGCAGTGTCTCTGCAGGCGCACACCCCGCGTGTGGAGGAATTGTTATGTGCATCGCGTGCGTAGAATGGAGATGGGTAGACAACCGCAAAAGGACGGTTTCCAGCCAGAATGACTGCGCACACAAGACAGGTACTGCGCAAGAAAAGCGCTTCGTGGTGCCAGCAAACAGTTTGTGTGTAATTGTTTTTGTAGACCCAGGCAAACAACATTTTGAATGTGTTGGCCCGTCTGCGGAAGGTATCAGTGGGGAGGTCTGCAGGGTGGGGGGGAGGAGGTGCCGCCCTACCCATGGAACAATCCATGCTTCGTACCGGCTGATTAATGGCCATGCCACGCAATCAGTCTACAGTCTATTCCGGAAAGGGTCGATTGGGAAACGGCGTCCGGTGGCGCACGCGCGGTGTGCGTGTGGTGTCCTCTGGATTGCGTGTCCCGGCCTGTTTGTTGGCAACGGTCCATCCAGACACGCACGAACGGCGACTTCACGACGGTGGATGACGTCACCGGTCGACCAGTGACTTTCAACCAATCAGGATATTCCTTTTCAAAAAAGTCGACCAATCCGAAAACTGCTGGCATCTTGTCTCTAATCGCGAGAGAAAGGCTAGAAGCAAAGCCTTTGCAGAGATTGGCTTCTTTCTTCGTCGCGCCCGTGCGGCCTACTTTGCTTTCTTGCCCCAAGACCAACCATGTCAACGTATCCAGTACGGTTACACGCACGCGCGTGCTTTGAGTGCTGTTCCAGAAAAAAAGGGATGCATTGCCATTGGCCAGCCGGTTTGGGCGGCCGATTCTCACTCAAAAGTGACACCTTCACCTCCACACACGCACACACACCGCTACCAGTATTGTTACTCAGGAAATAACGAAGTATAAAAAAAAAACATGTCCGGCACAGGGGATCCTGCCTTACGGGAAAAAATAGATTTGCCCTGTTCTTGCTTTCTCTGGACGTCCAAACAAAACATCTCTACAACCTGCGTACATGCGCACTGACTGTTTACATTAAAAACGATATTGACGTCTTGGCGTGTATGGTGCGCTCAATGTACGCCGCAAGGGAACGGCACTGCCGCGCAGAGCTGGCCCCGGGGATCGATCTTCGGCTGCTGCTAGTCCAGCTTTTCGACCTCTCTAATTCGGTCCAGGATCTCTCGCTTGCTGCTCTCCTCCACCTCCCCGCTCAGTATAAACTCGTCCAGAATGTTGTAGACCTGCAGGGTCGGCAGCGGCGGCGGCGGCGGCGGCGGTATGCCCACCAGACGTTTGGAAGTTCAGGAACTATTTGCGTGGGGTCTCTCAGCACGCAAGTCGAATCTCGGCCTAGTTGGTCACCGCTTCGGACGGATAGCCACACGTGAAGGAAGGAGGTTGAACAGCTAGAGCAGGCTGGTGTGACCAAAGAACGCAAACGAAGAACACATTCGATCACATACACACGTGCATGACACCCGTAGGCGGGGCGTTCCTGGATATCACATCACGCTCTCGTCAGGAGTGCGGTACCCCTCCCACCCCCCTTAGCTCCCGCCTACCATCTTCTCGTCGCCTTCATTCCCCGTTGGGCTAGCAAGCACGGCAGAGGGCGCTTCGCCTTAGTACAAGTTCGGAGAGCAAATGAGTCATCCGCAGGAACATCAACAGTGATCTCCGTTCGAGAGAAAAGCTCCATTGTCTTTCCAATGGCGAAGGTGAGCACAGCTCCAGCCCTCCACCTTCTTGCCAAACAGGCAACAGCTACTGTTGTATCGCACCTCGTTTAAGTTGAAGAAGATATCAAGGTAACACCAACCCCCTTCCCCCGGGTGTGCCAAAACAGGCGACAGCTATTGTGTGCCTCGCTTTTGTTGAAGTTTGAAACGGTGTCAAGGACCACCCCCCCCCCTCGGCAAAACAGGTCACAGCTACTGCTGTAGCGCACCTTGTTAAAGTTAAAGACGATGTCGAGCTCGCATACGTTGGAGAAGTACGACTCGAGCAGCTCAACAAACAGGTGGACCGTCTCGAGCGCCAGGAGCTCGTTGTCGTTCACGTCCATGCCGAACGTGAAGAACAGGCCCGCATATCGCCGGTAGATGAGCTTGTAGGTCCCATACTACAACCAGTGGTGGCAAGGCACAGCGCGGGACAATCAGCACGGACTGCCAAGACCAGCCAAGACGCATGGAAAGGTACTCACGTCTATTGCTGATATCTATGATGCCCCTTGTCGTTGAGTGTTGCTCTGGCGGTCATCAGGTGATTCTTTAATAACCCTACATGACCCAAAAGACGGGAATACGGCGATTTCGGGGGTCTCTTGTCACATGCGCAAGGCACGCAAAACAGCAGTCAGACAGTTCGCGTGCAACAGCGAGCATCAAGGAAGACACGACGCCGAACGAGGCAGAGGAACGCGCGTGACTGGGGGAGGAGGGGGCGATACCCCTCACCCAGAACTCATAGCTATTGTTCGCTGCGCGAAAAAAGATCCGCGAAAAAGAAAGCGTCTATCTAGATAGAAAGGTGTGTGTGCACAACTCGGTTGCTTGAGTGACCCATCGCGTCCCCCGTCCCCGGCACGTCCAAATGCATCCGGCCGTTCCTCGTCGTCTCTCCCCCTCAGCATCTGCACTACTCTCCATGCGTTCAAGACCACATTTCGCGCGCGTGTTTTGTTCGTGTTCCCCAGCCTATTCGTACCCGCCCCTTCCTGTTTCCACGTTCGCGCCGTAGTGCTCCCGGTACCCCGCGCGCGCCCCGTGCGCCCATATCAAAACCCTCCGTCTCACCTCCACAAAGTTTGTGTACTTTCTATCGCGGGTCACGACCAATCTGTGCACCTCGTTCTCGATCCGGACCTTCGCGGGTTTGGGTTGACCGAATTCGGACGAGACAGTAGTTAGTACAGGCGAGCATTCAAGACAGAAACAGGGTTCGGTTGACGGTTATGCCAGGGTCGAGGGGGTGATGCTATGTTTGGCAGAGGGGCGTACCTTAGCGGTTAGACGCGTGAACACGAACCCTCGAGAGGTACATGGGGGGGGGATTGTGGAGCTCTGGCGGTGATGTTTCAGAAGGCCATTCTCCCGACCAGCCTCTGAACGGAAATTGAGTCATCCCCGCCTTCGCAGTCGAAAATTGTCTAAACGGCAAGCCAGGAGGCCCGGGGGGGGTCGGCATATTCCGCCACTGCAATGTCCACACACGCCACCGAAAAGGGGGCCAAACGCTCGGCTCGAAGCATCCTCTCGAACCAGACATTGTCAACAACCCTGTCCGCAGGGGATGCATCTACCATTCCGTGCGTCTAATCCGGCCTTGGACAGCACCAAAAGCGGTGCTCCATACGACGACTGGCGCTGTGTCCCTGTGTCTACAAATATTGTAAGCGTAGACCGAATTCCGCTGGATCGTCCGTCCTCCCACCTTCTCCTTCTCATCGTGCAGGGGAATCCACCACTTCGATAGGCGGGTTTTACCCTGGCGGTTTTGAAGCAGCAGGAAACGGATCTACAGTAGTCGTGACGGCAACAGGGCGGGGGAGACGGGCGGCGGGGGGGTAAAGTTGAGTACGCGTCAATGATTCTAACACCGGGAGACGAAACCGGGCGAGATGAAAAAAATAAACAGCCTTTCCAGCAAAGCAGGGTGTTTCTGCGCCGAGCAGTTCCGCTTTTCCATGTGTGACCCCTTCGATGTTTGACGCATTGGGAATCAGCAATGCTCTCAATAGCAGTTGCCTAGGGCAGCATGCAGAGTGTTGGGGTACATGAGCATCGGCGGGCCAGAGGCGCCAACAGAACGGGCCGATGAGATTAGCGAGGTTCGTCCGCAAAACGCCCGTTTTCATTTCACGCTGCGGATGGAGCCCACAATCAGCGCCACTTATACGTCGTTGGCGGCTCGTGTAAACGACAGCAATGTCAACGGGAGTGGAGTTAAGATCGCACGATACGTATCCTGCTATGCGGAGTCTGCCGCTGTAACCACCCGCGGATGCCTGCTGAGTGCGCAACGGTAATCTGTGTCCTGAGTGTAGACTATTCCATGGGCAAATTCTGTGCTCGACCATTCCTTTTGCCCAGAGGCTTACACAAGAAAGCCGCATGCAAGGGGAAAAAACGGTAGTCGTGCAGAGACATGCTACCGTGATCAGCAGGAAGGGAAGAAAGAAGGACGTTGGAAACGCCGTTGCAAGGCGGCGTGTTGTCCGAAAAGGTCCAACTCTCGTATCAGAGGTAGAACTGCTTGAAGTGTTTTAGTGTACTCGCACTTGTTCCACCGCTTTATCTCTCACCATGGTATAAGCAGGCAGGCCGTCCTAGATGTTGCCGAGTGGCAATCCCCCAAACCGGCCGTTCCAAGTACAAACAACGACCGCGCGAGCCCGCCGCAAATAGGTTCGTTGTGCGCTCTTGCGCCCGGAGTTCCGCTTTGCTTAGGAAGCGTTTCCAAATGTGGCGGTTACTGCACAGTTTTCTCCGAATTGCCCCGCATTCAGACACTTTCTTCGCGATGAGATTTGATGTGCGAGAGGGCCGCGGGTTTGGTGGATGGTGCATTCCACACCATGGCAGCAAGGATCTACAATGCAAGGGGAGATCGCTTCTAGACGGAGTCCCATCAAAAGTTCGGAGTGCACGATCACTTGGGGTGAGCATGGAAAATAAACTGAACCAGTGCCTCGGACAGCCGCCCGTGAGACAGGCCAATGATACACCCTGTGGTGTGTTGGCATGACAATTGGATCATACGAGATGGTGTCGTTCAATTCAAGCTGGACGTGGGTGTAGTTCGATGAAGGTCACAATAAAGTATGCTAAATCTTATTTTGGAGTTCTCAGCAACCGTAGTGCTCTCGGACTTTGTGGCTGCAAACCAGCGCTATCCAGATCAATGATTGGCAAAGATTTGTGTCACAAGAACCTGTTCGAACCAGTCATGAACGTCTTCATAACCTTCTACAACAAGTGCAGGCAGGCCATGTAAACTCCATTACTTCCAAATCGTTCTGAACCCCCAATAAAGCTCCAAAGCATTGCTATCATACATCGGCTAACGATGGGCGGCGATGTCAGATTCGTTTCTGGTAAGAAACTTGCTCTCCGAGCCTATGACGTCGCTTGTTATGTAAGCGGAGTTTCGAATTGACGGGTCAATTCACCATCTTCATTAGACTAAGGGTTTCAATAATCTCTGCGGCCCAGCTTTCTTCGTCCGGGACAGGTGGGGCACAAAAACAATGAATAGAAACTCTGATAGACTTGTGCTCATAAATATCTACGTCACCTGACAGTATGCCACCGGAAGATGTGTCCACTGTTGGCGCCAGATTAGTGGGGGACGGACGCCCACTGAATGTCTCGCCCTCTCGCCGGCGGGCTGACAACGCGACTCATCTCCGCTCGTCATAATAAGGACGAGGCTGGCGGCGCCGAGGCGGCACCAAAAAAACTGTTCCTCCAGTGCCCACGATTTTCTCTAAATAACACTGTTAGTCTTGTGGGAGTGCCTTCATATAGCCGCCCGCTGTCCCCACTCGTTCTGTCGTGTGACCCGTCAAAACACGGAACGGATAGGCTGTTCCGGATATTTAAATGGCGCACGTGGGACAGCGCGTCGAGGTGTTCTGGCCGCCGGAGGGAGACGACACAGAAGGAAATTGGTTAGTGCAGCTAAACGCTTTGAGTCGTTCGCGACGAACTCTCGACGTGACCACGACTCCTGGACTCCCGACGCCGTTGACGACTCTGCCGGCTCCTTGTGGAGGGAATCGTCGTGTACCACAGCAAAAACATGACCGGGTCAAATTCCTACGTTTTCTGTGTCCTTCGTCGGTCGAAAGCATGGCAGAGCCTTCACGACCAAAGCATCGCATGGGTGTGCTTGACCAACAGAGTTGATGCTGCGGTCGTTGGATCGGGCCCTCCAAAAAAACATTCCGATGATCTAAGCATACGTTCTGCAGTCCCAAATGTTGGTTGTCTCCACACCCAAAATGATACAACTCTAAGCTCGGTTTGTTCATCCACAACTTTTGCAGGTATTGTGGTGAGCTGGATGGGTATGACGACGCGGCGGGATACCACGTGACCTACGATGATGGGGACGAGGAAGTGCTCGGGAAAGCAATTGACGGCAGGGACGATATTCATCTTCTACCGCTGCGGTCGCCGCCAGATGGAGGCAACAACCGCAGCCCCCCTGAGGTGTGTGTACGGTTCGTCGTTACAGTCGGCTGCGGCGTTCTGTTGTGGGGCCTTTTCTCGTATTTTCGAGCACGAAATCGAAGTCTGTACTATGCTGAACTGTGCAAGCATCGTTGTACGTTCCCACGGGAAATGACAAAACTTAAACTCGTGGTCTTGTCCGGCTAGAACCAGCCGCATCACCGCCAGGAGGGTACCGACAATGTTGTTGATCCCGGGTTCATTGTCGTTGCTGCTGCTCAGGAGGGTGCTCACCGGCGGCATGATAAACCCGGTGTGCCGGAAGAGGAGGGAGAAATAGGGAGGATAGGACAGCGAGGCAAAGTTACCAGCGAACCAGACAGCCCAACGCCAACCGGCAGCGGCTTGGCCGCAATGTCGTACAGGTGTGGCACATGTACGTTGCACGTGTTCTCAGTTACGTGTCAGCTTCGTTGTGCTAGATGAACAATGCTTGCGGTCTTGTGTAGAAAAAGACGTGCGAGGGGCAAAACCTGAAAGGTGCCAAAAGGCCAAGACACGACAGCAGTGAAGCCATGCCTATCACGAGAAGGGAACACAGCTTAATCTTCATTTGTTTCTGACAGGAAACGAGCCACCGAACAGCAGTAATTCCTCACTCGTTCTAAACGCCGTGTTAGACAAGGCGAAGCTGTCCTAAAGATCGCAACAAACGTACCCTTCACACTCATGCTCCTTCCCCCAAGAAGTGAATGTCGTGCATATCACTGTTTCGTTGTTTTTGCTCCGCACGTTTCGAACATTGGTTTCGATCCACATCTCACCATGCCGTCCTCGAGGCAGCAACGCTTACCGTCCCCGCTCAACTGCACACCAGGGAGATCGGGCGGCCTGCCTCGCCTCCAGACAGCGGCGGCAGCAACACGAGCCAAAGTTCCAACGTGAGCATGGAACGTCCCAGACACCGTTCCGCCGGAAACGTCGCCGACGACAACGGCTTCGAAAGCGGAGAGTTGGGGAAATCGAGTGAAAGAACAGCCACAAAACCAACCGGTCACGACGGCGTGGGAAACAGGAATGGCTCGGCCTTGAGTTTGAACGACGACGACGACGACAAAGGCGCTACCGATTACGACAGCTTCAACTTCGGAAGCGAAGACGAGGAGGCCGTAATTTTCGGGCCCGCGTCCTGCCGCAGCAGCAGTAGCGACGGCCGCAGCAGCTTCTACGGTGGAAACGAACATCATGGCGGCAACTACAGACACGATGGCGACGACGACGACAAGGACGACGACGACCAACCCCGGGAAGGACAAGGACGCAGAGGAGGGAGACTAGCCGCGAGCAACGGAAGCAGAGGAGAAGATGACAGCTCCGTGGAGAAATTCTCACTCTCAGGAAACAGCTCGGACTGGACGCCGCTAAGGGGGACGGATCTCGTCGGCGCCTCCCGCCGCTCGTCGCCGAGTTGGCGTCGCCGCGAGGACCGGAACCGGGAACAGCTCTCAGAGGCTGCAGGGGATGAAGAAGTAGGTTGTCGTGAACTGGTCTGGTCTGATGAGTCTTATACGGTAAAATGTACCACGGAGAGTGGGGATACATTTTCTCCGGTTTTAGTTGTGTGCTCTCTCTCAGCTATTGCTGTGTACGCACACCTAGGTCACAAGAGTTTCTTGCTGGGCTAACTGTTGAAGCAATAAGTTTATTGAACAGTGTACTATATTTGTGCATACAACGAGCGAGGATTTAACGTTTGCTCATTTTGTTTTGACGCTTCCAATGGCCTTGTGCCCGAAAGCGGATCCCGTGGTATTCGTTCCGCACTCAAGGGCTAGGACCAAGCTCGGAGTCCCTTGTGATTGAGTTCATACACAGACAGGCATTCCCAAGCTTCTTTTTGTTATCTATGCGCCACCCCGCGTTCAACACGCAACTCTGAACAGACGTTGATCGGTTGACTTGGGTGCTCTGTAGTCGAGGAAAAGCTATGATTCATCCGCCCCTGTAGTTCAATCCCCGAAATGAAAGCCGTACATCTAGATGGATGAAGGCAAGGAACCCTAACCTGACAGTCGCCTAACAACCCTGACGATCGGTGGTTTCACACGCAGGAAGCCTTTTCGTTTCACAACGAAGGAGCACGCGTCACCACAGCCAATGCGCTAGACAAGACGACAGAGACGTGTATATCCGCGCCTCGGAACGCTATGCTTGCCTCCGCAGTATCAGGCGTCATCGCACCCGGGGAAAACAACGGGTCGGTCCCTTTCCGCACCTCGCCGTGGCGGACGGGAGAGGCGCGGACCGACGGCCGGGGCGCTGTGTTCGGCGGCAGTGACAACCCGAAAGACGGCCTAAAAGCTCTAGAAGGGCTCGTCCACGATACGGCAATGTTGCAGGGGGTCGTCGAAGGGGTGGAACGCGGCAGAGGAGGGGGCGGAGCAGCAGCGCTCCGCGCGGATGGCGGGACCGCGGGGGAGAAGGGAGTGTTCGTGAAGGTCAGCGACCCGCACAACAGTCGACACGTTGGAATACGAGAGTGTCACGTCCCAGATGAAGGTCGCCGTCGTTGCTGCTGCCTCCATGATTATACAAGACGGACAGATCCGCTGCTTGTGTCGGTTGGATTCTTTCGCTTCATAAGTGCCCGTAGTCGGCCGTACAACGGGTTGCGTGGGGGCGGGTAGCCGGGGACCATAGATCTGAGCGGGAGCGGCTCCGCGGTTCGATGAGTTCGTCGGCAGAGAGCGTCCTTTGTATTGACCTCTCGTTGTGGTTGTCATCAATCTGAGAGTGAGGGGCTAGTCTTCTCGTCCGGTGGTAGCGAGCCAACCTCGTTTGTGTGTGCGTCGAATCTGCCGGAAACTGAGAGGAAATCGTACGGCAAACTCTTGCATCCCCGTTCTGCATGTCGAACACAGGGGTCGGCAAACAAGCTGCAATAGGACCGGCATGGATAGTGTGGTCATTGGCAACATGTCGCTACCCATTCTCGAAAGCTTGTCGACTTTATCTGATTCTTTCAGCTCCTCAAATCCTTCGTACATCGACCTGGGCTACACACCATAAGGTCTTGCCCGAAGACGAAGATCGTTTGGCACATTTTTGCCCTGTTTCGTCTTCGCTGTAGACGAATTACTTCTGCCGTCTCGAACATGACTGCGGAGCTTTCGCTGACCAACGTGCCTTACTCTCAATACAGGTACAGACCAATACCACAGCCGACACAGGCAATCACAATGCACACGTTAAAACTCGGCGCTATCATCCTAACCTCCTCTGCACTAAATATGGTGCCGATTTCCCAGATAAGCTTTGTCGAGGGGGGATTGGCGTCGACGACCAACGCCATGTTCCGTTGCAAGACCCTCCTACACACAACGGGATCTTCTGCTCCAGCGACGTGTAGCGCCGGCTGTGGCGGCGGTGGTTGGCCTGAGGGGGAATTTCAATGCGAGGTGCACGTTTCCATCCAATCGCTCTTGAGCTTCATTCCCTCCTTTGTCTGGCGTTTCTCCCATGAATGGGACAACGTCGTGCGCGCTAATCCTATTAAAAGTCGATTTTGTCGTTGCCACGTTAGGTGCTTCGTCATTGCAGTAACGAACAGCATTCGCTATCGATAAGGTTGCTATCGTCGTCCATACGCCATATTCTCTGCAGACACCCTGCCGATTCCCCACGAACATCGTCGAACCGTTCGCGGCGTTCTGGCGAAACTACGATGCAGACCTTCCATGGCGGACGGCTGGGCGAGTTGGCGAACGCGGCAGTGCTTTTCTCCGTGCATCGGAGGTGGCGCGGAAAAGGAGGCGCCACATCGCGGGGCTTGGATCGCGAAGGCTTCCTGGGGCAGGCGAGCCTCACTAGCCACACACAACAGTCACGTAGTTAAACCATTCGCTTCGTTGGCGGGTTTTGCCAGCATATACCCCGACATTTTCTGGTGATAACCCTGAAGAACGCGATCGTTCCGGGCTATAAATATATCTCCTGAAAGGGAAACACGTTTGACTCTCGACGGCCAAGACAACAGGACATTTTGTCATCGCCGAAACCTCGTTGTCCTATGTAGCGTTGTCCACAAACGTCCATGGCTCGGTGGGATATTCGTAACACCACGAAACCGCTCCGGGGCCGCAAACGCACGTCGAATCTCTCTCTGGGCGAGTCAGCACGCCAAACAAACCGTCAACCGGCCCGCTCATTCGCCAGCAGCCTCCGCGCGTGCAAAAATGAGCAATGGTTATCGCGCCCCTCCCTCTCTCCCGTGCCTCTCGCTGCTGCGTCGCCACCTGCACCTTACAGGTTGTCCTCCCCGTGCGCAACGCCGTCCTCGGCCTCCGGCCGGTCGGCGTCGCGCCGGGACCCCAAAAAACCGGCGTGGATACGGAGGAAGAGGCGACGGGCACCCACACCCGATCCAGTATCAACATAAGCAGCACAGATAACGACGAAAACGATTGCATCATCAGAAATACCACCGATAGCGGCTCCTGGAAGTTGTTGCGTGGGGAAGTCTCAGGCGCATTTCCAGCGGCGGATCGACGCGGCAGGGTTGAGACCGGGGGGAACACGCCGCTTGTTCTACGGCTGAGGCTTTCGGTGTCGTTGTCCTTGAAACCGGTGAGAGAGCGGCGAGAGAGGGAGAGAGAGAGGGAGAGAGAGAGAGAGCGAGAGAGAGAGAGAGAGAGAGAGAGAGGTAGGGCGGGGAGGGGAGGGGGTAGCGGGAAAAGGAGGTAGAGAACGGGAGAGGGAGGCCTGTGCGTATTGCAGCAAATCCTCGCAGCGCAAAAGTTGCCTTCTGTATCAGCCTATGGATTTCCCAGCCCCGTGCTCACCTGGGGCACCGGCCGTGGCGTGCGGCACCAGGGTTAATGTCGAGTGTGGGGAAGGAATTTGCCCCGTGGGAATGTAGCGGTTTGCATTCCAACCTGAGGCCTTTTGGAAGGAAATATGTTACCGTTGAGTAAGATCCCAAGCAGGAAACCGTAGAATATTCCGTGTGCACGACACCATGCTCCCACTGACCACTCTTCACACACCCATCGGAACGAAGCGGCGCCGTAGTCGTCACGATCCCCTGTGCCCCCTCTTCCCCAGTCACGGAAGCCCCCCCCCACTTCCCATTACCATGTTCCTGAACGCTTGCCTCATCTCTCCTTGCCTTCTTGTTCCCAGCCGGAAGACTTCACATGCCCAACCGAACCCCGCAATCACGCGGCCGCTCAAACGATGGGAGGACATCCCAAAGAAGCCGTAGGAACGGCAGCGGCGCCGTACGCAACGGTTGGCGCGGAACGAGAACCCGTCCCGCCGCACGGCGGGGTCGTCTTCGACGAAACGGGTTCGCGCCGCGCGGGAAGACCGGGAGGATTGGTCCCCGCTGATATTCCCATCCGGTCTGCAGGGCGAGCGCAAGGAAATGGAAATCGAAGGACGACAAGGACCAAGAGGGGCGGGGGGGACGCGAACGGCGGCGGCAGCAGGGATAAGAGAGCCCATCATCACGGGGCCGCCCTCCTTCGGCGGAGAGTGAAGCGGCAGGAGTGCATCGCCCGCGAGAACGAGAGGATGGAGCGGCGGCTCAAGGTCATCCGTGAGGCCGCCCCTAACCCCCGCGAGCCCCGCTGCTACAAGCGTGTGGGGAGAGCACCCTGTGTGCCCCGAGGTGGTGGCGCCGGCGGCGGCGCTGGCGTTGGTTTTTCGGAGCAGCCCCGCCACCGCCGCCGCCGTCGACAACGAAGCGACGGGCCTGTTGCCGAAGGACTACACGGGGACGCGCCGCCGCACGCCGCCGGTGTACGTAGTACCGTTGAATCTGGCAACAATCGACGACGGGGGGGGCACCAAGTAGCCGCAGGCTGCTGGGACAGCACAACACCGTCAGCGGGAAGTGGCGAAGCAGCGGCGGCGGGGAAGGTGACGGCTGGTTGGCGGGAATTGTACGACGAGAGGGAGGCGTTGGCTTCGGCGGTGGAGGCCGCTGCGGCGGAGGCGGCAGCTGTGCGCGCACGGGTCGAGGCGCTGCGGGCCAAGACGCTGTGGACGGAGGCCAACGCCAGGAGGTACGCACGCAAGCCAGGGGCAGATTTGTCCACGTTGAGCGGCAGGGGAACTTTAGACGTCGATCGGGCGGAAAATACGGTTTCGGTTCAAGCAAGGGCACAGAAAACGAGCACGGGGGGAGCGGGGTGTGGTAAGGGCAGGGACAGAGGATGGTTAATGGTAGCGTTCACGGCGGGAAGGGGCGGGTCGTTCCACGAACTCCATGAACATCGTTACACCTTGCGTGAGTATCTCCGGTTGTTTTATGGGACGGGAATGATCACAACGTGACCACAGTAGACCGTCCTACAGGACAAATAGCGGCGACCCCGCACCCACGGAACGGACACAGATCCGTAGATTGTCTCCTTCTCTCGAAAATATTGCAGGTCTTCTTTGAGCGTGGCTTCTCTGGAGAACGGTGCTCATGGACGATGTGCGAGTTCTCGAACGACAGGAAAGGAAGTCTCAGCTGTGGAAACGGCGAACTCTTCGGGCGCCGGCGTTGTGTTTGACCGGAGGACGTTGGATATTGACGGCGATGGCGGCCTCGTGGAGGAAGGTTTGGCCGCCGAGCTGAGGCGGCAGGAGGAGCTGTACAAGGTGCGTTTGATAGGAATTCGCTTTCACAACTAGGATTGCGAATATTCAGGCAGAAAAGTCGCGAAATGGTTCTTCCGTCACGAAACAGAAGCCCTTACGGCAGAGATACCCTTGTGTATTATCTCACCGAGAGCTCGTAGGCTGAGCGGACACGCAGGCCGGGTTTCGGAGTAGGCACGAAGACGGTATGAATTCGAGTGACTGAGAAATAGCAACACGGAGGAGAGACAACGATTATTGTATCGAGAATTCTTTCGCCCTCTCTGAGTAGACATCAGAATGATAACCGATGTTTCCGCTCCAAAAGGAGGCACACCACGCGCTCGAGACGCGGGGCATCTACGACTTGGCAGTTGAGCGTTGCCGAAAATCTTTGTTGCCTGTGCAGGCCCTAGCCGAGTCGAGACGGCGAACGGTTGCGGCGGGAGAAGCGGCGAGACTGGCGCGAGAAGCGGACCTCAAAGAGCTGGACGAGCTGCGGTCCCGGCTCACCGAAGCGGAGGCCCGGCAGACGCGGCATCAGTGGCGGAGAGAGAATGAAACCGTCACCACCACGGCCCCCCCCATAGGCGCTGCAGCCGCCGTGCCCCTCCGACGGCGAGAGTCGCCGCGCGATGATGAGCGCTCACCAACAAGGGCAGCTGGTGCTCGTGCTGCCGGAGCTGCTGCTGGTGGTGACGCCGCCCGTCTTGCGCTCGACGGAGTCAAAGAAGATCGTGGCGGGGGCGGCGGAGGCGCGGGCGCCCTACCGAAAGATGCCCTCGAGCGGGCCCAGGACCTCGCGCTGTCGTTGCGCGTGGAGGTCGAGACCCTCCGGCTGGAGGAAGCTTTGGGGGCGGGGACGGGGGCAGATGTGAACGTGGCGGGGTTGGGGAGGGCTCCAAGCGACGCGCAGGAGGAGGTCAGTGCGGCGGGGGTTGGAGTGTCATGGTGGGTTCATTGTATCGGGCTGGCTGTCGATCGAGGGAAATCGTACCGTGTATGCTTTGACCCTTGGAGACTCCTCCATCTGGGCGAGGCAGGTTATCTGAACGGTTCATGACATTTGTAGAGCGTCAAGTGCCTCAAAAACAGGATTGGTATGGTTTGGGGCTCTCGTGCTTCTCTGAGGGGAAACATGGGCGGGTGATCTTGCTCTCCCCAATGGGAAACATGGGCTTTTGTATTGCCTTTCACTTTGCTGCCCTAAGCTGACAACGATAGCACCAAGCTAAGGGGGGGTGGTATTTCTCCCCTCGCTGCCACCTGAGCCTGCAACAACAGTATGAAAGTGTCGCTTCCCACTGGACTTATCATTTCGTTCGCGATGACTTGTACGGATCTTCTATAATCTAGTACGCTTCGTTCGTTGCACAGTGCGTGGCTAACCCTAGTCCTTATTTAAACCTTGGCGGCATCCTCCGTGGCTTTGATGAAAGGTGGCCAGGCTGAAAGCTTTGTTGAAGAACAAGACGCGGAGGCTTGAAGGGGCCATCTTCGACCGAGACGCTATTCGGGCAGAGTTCCAGGTGCGTGGGTGACCACACCGCACGGAAGACGACAAAAGAAGAGGATCACCATCACAGCAGCAGTAGCGTCGACGATGACAGCACAACGATATCCACGGGTACTTCGGCTTTAGCATTAGACTTCACGTCGCCGCAGGCCTGTGGGCGACGTGCCTACGCGCCAGATTTCACACTCTCCCGCTTCTGTCCACCCACTAGCCAATAGATGGTCTAAGCGTTGCAGGGAGAATACGGTACTAACGGAGAAAGATTGGACTACAACAGATAGATAACTTGTATTCCTCATGCTAGGGGAACGAAAATGACTCGACATTGCCTCGGCGACGGGCGTTCGCCCACTCGAGTATTGGACCGGTGTTTACCTCGAACCGTACCCATTCAACAAAACCAGCTTCTATCTGCCTGCGGTCGTATCGCAAGCCGCGCCATACTTTCTTCAATACATTTCAGCCCCGAAGTCTGCAGTCCTCTTTGTCGTGCAGTCCAACTTCCCCCGCCCGTGTTTCTATCCCCATCAATCCTTGACAGCAACCCAATCAACGTTTGTCCTGAACAACGACCCCAATCCCCTGACCCCTCACCTCGTGTTCCTCACTTGGCGGCCCGACGTTCATATCATCTGCTTCCCGGCTCAGCATTTGATCGGAACGGGCCAGCGCTCCGCGCTGAAGGAATCCCTGGCTTGGCTCCAGCACGCTGCCCTGCATTTGTCGGACACCAAATTGACGTAGACTTGCAATCTTTTGCAAGATATTTTCTGCAAAAGGTGACAACCCATTCCACGAAAAGGGCAAAAAAGACGGCCTGTATGCCCCTAGTAATTACCCCGGAAGGTCCATCCGCACCAGGGCATGATTGTCGTCCAACACTTTAAAATGACTTCACCAAGTAGGGTCACTCGATTGAAAAACAGTGCTGGCGATGTGTACTATTTTTGTTGGGCGCATCTCTCAGTCCCGCCGCCTTGTCACTGTCGTCTTAGTACGACGCGACCAAGGTGGCATTGCCACAGTATGCACTTGTACGAAGGGTTTTGAGAGCGAGTGTGGTTTGCGTGTATTGCTAGCCTTATGTTCATCCCTCAAAGAACATCGTGCAACATCGGTCAATTTGCCAGGGGCCGTTCGTTGTTTGTGATGCGGCGACCCGTGCAGAGATTAGTAGCATTTTCGTCGAAGAGTTTGGGATGCGGGCCACATCCGGAGTTCGACGTTGAATCAAGGATTCGACCATTAACGGTGAGGTCTGCGCGAACAACGTCGTGCTCGACTTGATGGCGAAAGCAAGATAGACGAATAACCTAATGGGAATGTATTGACGTCAACGCTTGACCTCTCAACCGAATGTGCACATGGAGTGAACGGAACACTCCCAGTCTTGTGTGGAAACACTCGCGTAGTGAAATTCAAAGGATTAACCTGCGCACCATTCCGGGAAGGCCCAGGCAATATTATTCGGAGGAAGAACGTCCATTTTTTGGAAGGATGGAGAGTCATAGCTTGTTGTATTTTCGCTCAATGTAGTGGTGGTTGTTGTGTCTGCTGCTGTAGAACAATGTTCTGGCCTCCACGCAGTACCCTCAAACATCCGTACCGGTGGGGTGAACGAGTCAAGAAACGGTTGGTTTGTCGGGTCCTCCGTTGGTGTCTCTTTGACTTGGCGCCCGTACTCAACAACTCTCCGAGTGAAGCGAACCTCACTTCGAGATTTCTCAGACATCTGCGCAGGCCACACCTCCTGCGCTGTGGCAGGTTAGGGATCCCACATCATTATTTGAGGCACTCCTCTCAATCCGTCACTCTGGACTGGTCACCCCCCCCGATCTTATAGGTCGGCACTGGAAGGGGATCTGGCAAGGCAAATTGTCACTGCCCGCAAGAGAGTTTGTTCAGGAATGGACGACGTCAACGTGAACATGAGAGGAAAGAGATTGGTGCAGACGCTCGGCCCGAAATTGTTATTCTCGGGCACTGGACCTACCGCACCCATTATTCCTCCCGCTTTGGCGACATACTAGATGCCGAAGTGGCAACACGTTTGTTTGTATTTCTGCAGGAACGTGGACGTGTGTGGTTTCCAGTCCACTCTGTAATGAGTGATAATTCTTGAAAGCGTGAGACACTTTGATACAACCTTGTGGCAGAGAACTTTTTCCCAACTTCATTCCCACCCTCCCTCCCTACTCTGGCGTTTCGTTGGGTTATTCATCGTATTTTATCTCCTCCAATGACGCCGAGTCAGTGTTACATCCTGACAACAAATGGCCGAGGAAAAAGTTTATCTGGCACAGCAGGGATTCGCGCCGTGTGGACGGAGAAAAACAACGAACGGACCCTGTTGATATCATTGCTAGTCTATTTTTCTCACGAAAAACACAACGAAATGTACTCTAATAGACTACATCTCTTCCACAGATAGATCATCAGAAGAAGGGACCCACCCGGGGGATGAAGAAACGCCGGTCATTAAGTAGATCAGCAATGGACGGCGACCACAACTTGTATTTCAACGATCCCCCGAGCAGAATTACACGATATCTATCTCTCTGTGGGTGTAACAGGCTCGACAAAGATAGACTAAAATGTCTGCAGCAAACACTACTTCTGTAATGTACCGTATGTAGATAATGACAGATGATGGCCTCTTTGTCGGAAAATCCCTACTACGGGAGCCACCAAGGGCGCACAAAAAAAATTCCGACACCTACCCGACAAAGCTTTTTTCAGACCTCTCCGGGGGGAGGGGGGGGGGGACGAAGGCACATCCCCCCCCCCCCCCCC